AAACTTTTAGAAATTAAACACGTAACAAACTATTTAACTATATAAAAGTTAGACGTGACATAAAAAATTTTGTCCTTAAATATTTATGTATTTTTAGGACATTCGTCACAAAAATGTCTTTATTACCTATAGTAGCAAAATCATATTGCTACTTTCTCATTCGTCACAAATTGATTACATCTAGTGAGAAAACAATAATTTGTCTAGAATTTGCTTTCATTTTAATAACATAATTACTATATTTTATCTACAAATTAACTTAATATTTGATGACCATTGAAATTGTCACTAACTAAGATAATATATAGCGAAAAATTAGTCTTATCACTAATAGCACTATTTGTTGAGACACAAAAATAATTTGAACTACGAAAATGTCGCCTTCTCGACAAAAAAATCTGTCTCTACTTCATATATTTAAAGACGAAAGATTTTGTACCTAAAGCATAACCATTTAGTGACGCAATCACTTTCTTTTAGCTACAAATTATGTGTAACTTTAACGACAATCAATATCATCACTAATTAAAATTATAATTAGTGACAAATTAGATTTGTCGGTATTAAAGACCTTTTTAGCGACGACACTACACTTTTAGCTACAAAGTTTTGTCACTTTTGATGACAAACAAGTTCGTCATATACTACGTAATTGGAGACGAAAAAAATTTCTTAGTTAATATAACTTTATTTTGTGACGAAACTCAAAATTGTCTTGGTATACTATTAGTGACGGTGTTTCAAAGACGAAAATTTGTCACGAAAATACATTTGTGACGAAATATGAGTTTTAGGTGACAAAATAATTCATTGCTAACAATCAAATTTGTTATAGTGACCCTAGATAAAAAATTATAGTGACCCTAGATAACAAATTAGCAATTCATAATAGTATGTAAAACTATAATACTAAAAATCATAACCAACAATGAAAAATAAGAAGAAGAAGGAAAAACTCGTTGAAGAATTCTCCGCCTTGCTCCCAGTGTGTTCTTGACTCCTTAGGTCGAATCCCCGGTCTCCTTAGCCTCCTTAGGTCTAAATTATGTCAAAAATGTGCCCAACCTCCCTAAATACCGTTTTTCCATGTATATATACCAAGTACGGTCGGGCCCAAACTATTATACCTTCTCCTATGCGAAAAAGGACAATTTTTCACGTGTGGACGGCCGCGGCCGCGGTCAACCGCAGTACGACCGCGGTATATGGCAAGTATACTGCCTCAGCCCGCCTCAGGTCCGCGGTCGCAGTTTCGACCGCGTTTTTCACCCTGTTTCGTCTGGAATTTGGAAAAACTTAAAACATGAAAGTTGTATCCCTTTGAGTTATCTTTTCAATCATATATTGTGAAGCCCAAATGGAGTTCTGAGCAAAAAGTTATGTGCATTTTACTAGACAGTGCGCAATATGCATACTCGATTCTTCGTTTTGTTGCTCTATCATCCATTGATCCCCGAATACGATCCTGACTTAATTCCTTGGGCTTTTACTCAGAATTAAAAGCTCCAAATCACTTGAATTCATTCCATAACATCTATATAGCTCGAAATCACTCCTACAAGGCATAAAACACACTGTTAGTGCAAAATACTAGCGATTAAAGCGCAAACTCAATTAAAGTGCAGTAAATTAGAGTGTAATAATCGACTAAAATACGTAATTATAGCCTATTACCAGATTACTGCAGGAAAAGGAACTCTAGGGAAAACACAACAATATGTAGCTAAGGAGCAGGGGGCAATAAAGGACAGAAATGTAGAACAAGGTCGGCAAACACCTAATAAATATGGTAAGACAGAAGGAACAAGTGGAGAAATCCAATTCTTTCCAGATTCTGAATAAACAGGAGGGCCTCAATCTGTCAAAGGAGGGGGGGGGGGGAGAGAAGGAAGCAGTGTGGGTGGCCTAATTATCCCTCACAATGGGAATGGTTAGTCTACTAAGCTGGAACACTAGGGGGCTTAATGCTCCTAATAAGCAAAAGGAGACTAAGCTCCTTTGCAATGAGGAAGAGTAGGTTTAATAGGCCTACTGGAAACAAAAATTAAAAATGAAAGGATGGAGCAGGTAGTAGAGAAGATGTTTGTTGGATAGAAGTTTGTAACAAATCTTGACTGTCATTACAATGGGAGAATCTGGATCACCTGGAGGCCAGATTACTACCAGATATTACCTAGGCAAAGGACTGCTCAACTAGTAACATGTGAAGTCTTGTATATTCCTCTTCAATTATCATTTGAGGTAACTTTTGTTTATGCTTTTAGTACAAAAGAGGAGAGGAAGGGATTGTGGGAAGAGTTAATCACTCACAGTAGAGGATGTAGTAAACCATGAATGGTAATAGGTGATTTTAATTCAGCTCTGAATGTAGAGGATAGAATAGGAGGAAATGAAGTGACATGGGCTGAAGTGGTGGATTTCTATAATTGTGTAGTGGAATGTGGATTGATGGAACTACCTACACAAGGAAATAGATACACTTGGAGTGATAAACAAGAAGAACACAGAATATTCTCAAAAATTGATTGGATCTTCATTAATGAGCAGTGGTTTGATACCATGCCAGAATGCAATGCAAGATTTTTGACAGAAGGAATTAGTGATCATTATCCTTCAAAGGTGACTTTTACAGAGGAGAGGCAGAGGAGTAGGACATCCTTTCAATTTTGTAATGTGTGGACACAACATCCACAATTCATGAGAATAGTCAAAGAAGGTTGGAACTATAATGTGGAAAGATGCAAAATGTTTGCAGTGCTTAAAAGACTGAAGATGTTAAAGAGGGGATTGAAAACTCTAAACACACAGGCTTTTCATAACATAGTGACTGAAGTAAATGAGTATAGGAACACACTGAAACATATCCAAATTCAACTGCAGCGATGTCCTACTAATATGGAATACCAACAAGCTGAAGTTAGTGCATACCAAAAGTTCAGGCAGTCAACTTACCTAGCTGAAGTGTACTTACAACAAAGAAGTAAAGCAACATGGATAAGATTGGGAGATGATAACACCAAATACTTCCACTTAGTAATCAAACATAGAAAACTGAAGCAGGCAATTACTCAGCTCAAGGACAGCTCTGGCCTTTGCCAAACAGATCATGATACAATAGCTGATATATTTGTTGATTATTATGAAAATTTACTAGGGAGGAAGAAACTGAAAGGGTGAGAGCTTTTAATAGTATAATCAGAAATGGGAACAGGCTATCAGAAGCTCAGCAACAAGAAATAATGCAACCTTTTTTGGAAAGAGAAGTAAAGCAGGCTATGTTTCAGATTGATAATAATAAGAGTCCTGGTCCTGAAAGATTTGGGAGTGGATTTTACAAAGCAGCATGGTCAATAGTGGGAAGAGATATCACTGAAGCAGTCCTGGAGTTTTTTCAGAATGGCAACATGCTCAGCAAATAAATGCCATTAACATTGCCTTGATACCTAAAGTGGAAATTCCAGAAAATGCAGGCCAATACAGGCCTATCTCCTGTTGTAATGTCCTATACAAGTGTATATCTAAAATGATCTGTTCCAGGCTAAAGCCATCAGTCAGTCATATAATAGCAGATAATCAGTCAACTTTTGTACAAGGAAAGTCCATGATGCACAATGTGTTAATATGCCATGACTTACTAAGGCACTACAATAGGAGGACAACTCCTAGATGTTTAATGAAAATAGACCTTAGAAAGGCATATGATATGGTGAGTTGGGAGTTTTTGGAGGAAGTTTTAAGAGGGTATGGATTTCCAGATAAGTTCATACACTGGATCATGGTATATGTCTCTACTACAATGTTCACAGTTAAAGTTAATGGTGAAGGATATGGATACTTTGCTGGAAAGAAAGGGTTGAGGCAAGGAGATCCAATCTCTCCATTTCTATTTGTTCTTGTAATGGAATACCTGTCTAGAACCTTAAGGACAATCAGTAGACTACCTGATTTCAGGTTCCATCCAATGTGTAAAGGGATCAAGCTGACACATCTCATATTTGCTGATGATCTGATGATATTCTACAAAGGAAATACTAGCTCAGTAAATAGAGTAATGATAACCCTTGATCACTTCAGTAAGGTATCTGGTTTGATAGCAAATATGGAAAAATCAAGCATCTTTGTAGTTGGGGTTGGAGTTGATATCAAAGACAACTGTTGAAAAGAACAGTCTTCACTGCTGGGACATTTCCTATTAAATACCTGGGGCTGCCTTTGTCCCCTAGGAAATGGAACAAGATGGATTGTCAAATATTGATTGGGAAGATCACTCATAGAATTACATATTCTAAGCAATTGTCATATGCTGGAAGGCTTCAAATAGTTAATGTTGTCCTCTTCTCTATACATAGCTTCTGGGGGAATGTTTTTATTTTACCACAAAGTATGGGAAAAGGAGTTGGTAAGTTGTGTAGGGAGTATCTATGGGGGGAAAAGGAGGGACGGAAGAAAGTGGCTCTGTTTGCATGGGATAAGGTGTGTTGTCCAAAGAACTTGGGGGGTCTAAATATCAAAGGTTGTAAGGAATGGAATATAGCTTCAGTAGGTAAACTAATATGGCAGCTGGTTGTGAATAAGGAATCCCTATGGGTAAGGTGGGTTCATGGGGTATATATGAAAATTGATCATGACATATGGGCTCATACAGCTCCAATAGATAGTAGCTGGTATTGGAGAAAGCTAAACTCACCTAAAGAACTGATGAAGGAATGATACTCCCAAGGCAGATATACATTAACTTCAGAAGGTAGTTACTCAATTACTGAAAGCTATCTTGCAATACTTGGCCAACAGCAGAAGCTGAAGATTGCAGATTTAATATGGACAGCTATAGCACAACCCAAACACAGGTTTATTGGTTGGCTTGCAACACTTGGGAAGCTGCTAACTAAAGATAGGATGATTGGAATGCAATTACAGGTTGAAGACATTAACTGTAATTTGTGTAATAAGGACACACTGGAATCACAGGACCATCTGTTTGTTAAATGTAGCTGGATCAATGTAGTAAGGCAAGAGTTAAATTTGTGGCTTGGGCAGACAGTGCATACTATAGGAATCAAGCAAATGCCGGAACAGATCAAAAGGAAGCACCGGAAGCAATTCAAAAAGGAAGTGATAGCTGCAGTGAATATAGCAGTGATATACCATACATGGAGAGCTAGGAACGTTAAAATTTTTCAGGAAAAAACTGTAAATAGAGCAGAGGTAGTTACACAAATTAAGAGAGAAGTGATAGAAATGATAGAATTACTTAAGCAGTCAAAGGAAGCTCAAAAATGTAGAAATTTAGTTAGACAAATTACTTGTAATTAGTTATTTTTTCTGGTTGTTGGAGGCCTAAAAGTCTGTGGACAGATAATTAGGTGCTCTATAAGGGTAATTGTTTATGATCAATGGTAATATTCACATTGTTACCAAAAAAAAAAACTTTAGAAAATAACTTCGATAAAATTACATTTACGTGTTGTCGACTTGTCAGTGTTTACACCAACCCAACTGAGTATATAACACATGTTTTTACATCCAATACATATCACCAAATCAGAGTTAATTAGACACCTTCTCACCTTAATTTATAACTTAATCATGGTAAATCAGTATAATTTATTTTTTTCTTAATATATCGATAGATGGTTGAGGACTTCTATATGATAATTTCTTCTCATATTGACTTAGTCTTTTAGAAATTTACACTTTTTTGTTATAACTCCAACATAATGTTTAGTATAACACCTGTATAATTTTTAATTAAGTTTTTACTTATTTAGATAAGGTACACGCGCAATACGCATATCTATAGACTAGTCTATATTATTATAAAAGCACGAATAATTTATACCAAATGTTGAACGACAAATATATTCCTGAAATATTAACAGTCTTTTATGCCCTCAATATTGCATATTTCTCAAAGAAAATTATTTCATATTGGATAGAATTGTAATAACTAGAATTTGTATATGATGCACACTAGGATTCATATTCTTCAACGAATTTATTTACTAATAGGATTCATATTATTCACATGCTTACAAGACAGTTTTTAATATCATACTCAAAAGATTTTTATTAGACTATTCATGAGGTTAGCAAGAAAAAAGTGTGGTAGCTAAATTTAAGGAAAAACAGAAAATCAGTACCAAAGAGTTATTTAAGTTTCAATAATATTTTTGTTTTCAACATATTCCAGTGCTTCCTTCTCTATTTACGGTTGCGTTAAACCTATGTGACTACATATTTATACGTTGGCAATACTCTCGTGCTTCTATCTCTGTTGAAGGTTGGTTGGGTTGATTTGTTCTAAATTTTATGTATAAAAATATATATTGGGTGTATGTGAACATTAACATGTACATAAGTATATTGCTTTTTGTAGGTTTTACGTATAGAACTTTGAAAGAGACGATTGTTGGTAATATATTGAAAGACAACACATGGATAAATTAATATGAGAAAACATATAGGATTTTATGTTCATGCTCTTATCTACTATTGTCGTCTTTTTACCAATTTTAATATAATTATTTGAAATATATCTACTTGCAACAAATTTTATCCTTTAATTATGATAAAACTTTGTTAATAAGTTAGTTTCAATTATATATTAATATTCTTTTATTTCAAGGAACTAATTATTACTGAACTTCATATATTAATAACAAGTAGTTTACGCAATTAAAAGTGTATACTTTTGGTATATGTTTAATATTTAGCACAAGATATCTGTACGAACATAGAGACTAGTCAATTAAAAACAAGCAAACCGAAAAGTTGTATATGTACCGGAGGATTTTGTGATTAGTTAGGTGATTAATACTAGGTTAAGATGCATCATCATCTCATTTTTTAATTCGTTTCACACTTTCATCTATTTAATTACTAACGAGAATTCACATCCTCGTTTGCTACCAGGTATGTCCCAACTGAAAAGTAGCCTACCCCAAAAAAAGACAATACTTATCAAGAGAATAATAAGTATATATATATTAGAAATCCATCTTTCAAAACATAAAAGGATGTTTCTTACAAAACTGACAGAAGTTTAAACTAATAATCTACTAAAAATATTTATTTATTCTATCTCAAACATATACAACCAACAAACTGCAGTATTTCAATCCCAAAATTAGAATCAGTAACATGTATGTATCCTGTTTTCCGTTTTGTGCTATTTAAGTTACTCACAGGACAATGGGCATGCGGCATTATATGTTAGTGATAAAAATAGACGAGGAGAGAATCTTCAAACAATTTAAATGCAGTTTCAGTTTCTTGTTCTCCTCACAACCCTAAAGGTGAAAGAAAAGAAGATCCATATATTATCCCCAAAAACCAGGGGCATATAACAGCACAAGGAATTGGTGTAATATAAAATACAGTATTGAGTCTGATAATAATTAATTATAAACAGCAAGAGATGGCCCTCCACAAAGAGGTAGCCAGGATAATATTATTGAGTCTGATAATAATACAAAATAATAATTGGAGTATGGAACGCCCCACAAGAATCACCATCACGTGCACTGCCTATTCAGTCGACTGTATGTGTATGGACTTATGGCAAATGGAAATATAGTACTACTCTCTCCGTTCCAGTTTATGTGAACCTATTTCTTTTTTGGTCCATCCCATAACGAATGATCTCTTTCTAAATTTTGAAACAATTTAGCTTAAACTTACAATTATACCCTTAATGAGAAGTTTTTATAACCACACAAATACTCTAGGCCCTTTTAACTTGTTTAAAACCACAAATTCTAAAAATCTTTATTTTTTCTTAAACTCCGTACCCAGTCAAACAAATTCGAGTAGTACACGAGAAAAACAAAATCTTTTACTGGTGCATTGCTCTGTCTTGACTTGACCGTTGCGTACTGCCCGCTCTTTCCCTGAAAAGGTTTCTCCCGAAACAACGCCGTCTTTGCCTATTTGAACAGGTAGAAGTTTTGCATACCCGTGACACATTATCAACAAAAAAAAAATATGTACTTAATCTTTTTAAAAATATCAAGTTTGTACGTGCATGCATGTTGAAAATATAACTAAAATATTTTCATATCCAACCGCTTAACCTTTTTAATGAGACATTCACCGTAGTCCGTAAAATGATATGAGCATAATATGCAAGCTATCGGAGAGATGAAGTAATCTAAGTTCTTGCTAAAATCCCTTTTCATGCTCTTATATGCGTAATATGGAAACTTTGTACAGCATATTACCCTTAATTTTTCTTCTTTACATACTATTATATTAAAATATGATGGTGCTTTGTATCAAATCAATTAGCGTATTGTGTCTCTGTAAGATTGATTTTCGTTTTAAAATCTTCACTACGAAAGGGAAGTTTAACATTTAAAACAAAGTTTAGACAGAATAAATCATCCTATATATATAGTCTTAGCTTATATGAAGTATATGAATCCTATATCAGTAAATGGCTTCGAACTTCAATTCAAATATTGATAAGTGCTGATATTTTCTCGTGTGGTACTCCCGCAGTGGGAGGAAAAATAAAAGTAAATGAGGTTAACAGGGATTAATTAGGCCAATGCATTACCATCTTCAAGTACTTGAAATTTGAGACCATCGGCAAACAATTTTTACGATCATATATGGACCTTATAATATTTTCATGGCATGAATATATAACTCACGATTTAGAATAAAAAAATTTAATCTAAAAAAGTAGATTTCAATACCCCTTTTAAGCACAATAATTAATCATCAATCATTAAATATAAAGTGCTTTATTAATTTGCAATACAGTATATGAAATATACGTTGAAAGTGAAGGTTTTGAATGAAGCATAACGCTTTCTTGGTTTGACTAAACACTAAAGCAGTCAACATTCTGTTCATGTGAAAAAAAGTGGAGGATTAACTTAATCCCTTCGGGATTAAACTTATACTTAATCAAAAAAATTTGTAATCATAATAATTTAATATACCTCAAATTTCAAACTCGATCTCAAGGTTCTGATACATGTTATGTACAAACTACAGACAACTGACTTCTCTTTTTTAATCCACTATTTTTTTTATGCGTCTAAAAGTTTTACACCATTAATAAACAAAAGAAAAATTCTTCATTGAAAAGTCTATCTCTCTTTCTATATATAGCAACGGAAATGGACAAAGCACATGCAAAAACAAGAAAATTCTTCACAAGTAGCAGGAGAAGGATAATTTAAGAAACTGATAAAGGGTAATTTAGATAAATTTTAACTATTAAATGACTTTTTAAAGAGTAGTCTGCAAACCTGATATAAAAGGTGGGAGCAGTAAATTTTCTTCACAGTATTAGGCAATTCTAAATTTTTAGTAGTTGAGACATTTATTTAACCCAAAAAGAATAAATAAATGAAAAGAAAAGCTTTAAAAGATTGAGCCTCAGTCAATTACTATGATGTATCGATTTATTACTAGCTGTTTAATTGGTCTGACGAAGAGTGAACACAAAGGAAATTAATAATCTTAATTGTTGATTTGACTATATGCAAAGAATCGAGTTTAATATACTTATTGCAGTTATATCAAGTTGATGAACTACCACCTGTGACAAAGTTAATTTGCCAATATCTTATTACTTAATGTTGCTTATTTTTAATAATAACAAAATCGTATAATATCCCCAGATATTGTTTTTATAAACGGTTTGAGATTCTTTGATTGAGACAGATAGATAAGACTTTCAGAATAGTATAATTTTATACTACTAATTCATAATTAATTAATCTCGCCAACTTGTTGCTCATTTTGCCCCTACTTGAGTGCTTCGAACATGCAGCATTCTAACTTTTTCAGCTAGAAGAAAATACTTTCAAATTCTCAAATATTGAATCATAACACAATAATATCAGTTCAATTAAGATAAATTTCCTTTATTTTTTTTAAAATAAAAAGCTATTGATATGTGAGGAAAGTGTTGTTAATAACCTGATGAGAGTAAATTAAAAACCGTTGTTTTAAAGAATGACTCAAATATCTTATGGTTGAATCTTACCTTGATAAAGGCCACGTTAATAGTCACGATGAATCTGACCGTTCTTCTAATAACAAAGTGAGAATTAAATTTATTATATGGTTTAGAGAACTCTTTCAACTAAAAAAAAATGTATCGAGTTTATTGTTTTACTAAAGAGCCAAAAAAGAAGAGCTAGTTTATTGAAAAACTTTTTTTTTTCCTTTTTAATCAGACTTAGAATCTTTTGTTGATTATGTTACTTTTTTTCAGACCAAAAAATAAAGTGATGACCGATGAGGATTGAAATGAAATGATGTTAACGCACAAAGACTTCCTTTTTCATCAAGCAAACGTGACAGTACAATGAATTGTTCCCATTTCAAGTCTTTGATCAGGAATACAGTCCATGTTATGACCTATTATTTGTGAAACACTTTAATTTATTTTTATTTATTAATAATTCTGTATCAATTTATCAATCGAAAAAATTATTTATTCTATGTTTTGGATATTCTTAGCCATACATAAAATAAATATTTAGTTGTAGTTAGTTCTAAATACTTTAATTGTATAAATATCCTTTTATGTAATTAATTCATCAATTTTAACTGGGTGATTGAATAATATCGGTTGAAGTCAGAAAAGAATTATTTTAAACTAAATGTTAAAAAATAAGTATTCAAAAATTATTGTTATTCAATCTGTATTGCTGTAATCAATTAAAAAATAAAATTTCTGAAAAACAGAAACAGAAAGTTTGTAGAACTAGAACGTCAAAATAAATTCTGAAAACAGTATAGGGATAAATCGAGCCCACTGAATACACAGTGTTTCCTTAAGGAAATTATTCCCCTCAAGTACCCGAGGTTATGGAATATATCCTCCCAGGATAGAACGATTTAACTCACGAGCGTATTGGTACCAAAAACTCTGGTGAACAGCGAACCACTCAATGGTCGTAAAACACACTGGAAGATATTGTGCGGAAGAAGAAGAAGATTATCAGAAAATTTAGTAAGTAAAAATTCTGGGATTGAAGGAATATTTATAGTGGCACTGTTTCTGAAAAGGTTTGCAACCTTTCAGAACAGCCATAGCTGTTGGAACAGGTTTGGCACTGTTTTTGAAAAGGTTTGCAACCTTTCAGAACATCCATAGCTGTTGGAACAGGTGGGAAAAAATTGCGAGAAAAACAAACAGATTTAAAATAATCCAAGAAAAAAAAAACGGACCGGACCGAACCGGGTCGCGGGTCATGGATTATTCTGGATTGAATTTTCGTTAATTAATTTAATTAAAAAGAATTTTGTCCAAAAAGATTAATTAATCAATCTTTGACCAAATCCGAAGCCGAGCGACGACGACGGCGCGAGGCTTGTCTTCTTTTTAACTCTTTAAGAGCTAAAAGATGAGCTTCTCTATATATACACAAATATTTTCTTTCCTTCTACCAATGAGGGACAAAGTGCTTTAGTAAAGTGAACTAATTCAAAATTTCACTTCCCTCTATTTCTTTTCCTACCATTTTCCATTCACACCTCTTTTGTTATTAATAACAAAACCCAACAATTTTAAAAACTATTATTTTACTTGAAATAATATACGTATTTGCATATTTCTTCTACTATATGTCTTTTTTTTCGCTTTAGTTATTGTATCACCTTTGCTTGCTATGATTACTACTTGTTGTCTCTGCTTCCTTTTTAATTAATTTTTTTCTTCAGTCCTTTTATCGAAAATATTCTTTCTACATTCGTAAGGTAGGGATATGGTCTGCGACTCTGTACACTCTACTCTTTCCAGGGTTGTTGTATTATTTTACTTGAAATACACGTCAGACAAGTTTTAATATTTTTCTCGGACATACACGATACAAAGTACTTGCATTTATACATATAAAATGTTATTTACCCTCATAAATTCGTGTTTGTTTCTTGATATATTCATTAATCAACCCATTCTACGAAAAGGTAAATGTTAGTAGTACAATAAAAAATCCTTTAGCTTATGAAAACGTAAACCCCACATCCAGCTGGAAATCACTCAGAATCCATTCTATCATCTTTCCGTACACGCGCGAAGCACGCCGTCAAACCTCGTATTAACTCCAGGTAAGGTTAATATCTCTGTCCTCTCATTAGAAAACCAATCTCATTCCATAAGGGACATGTTCGGTAATTACTCACTCCCGCTGACTATGCCACGTCAGTCTCTAATAAGACACCTCCACGTCACCATCTCCTTATTTGCCGACCAAATCCCGCCGTCTGTCCAAAATCCAACGGCTGAAGATCCAATATTCTAGACTTTTCCATGAATTAAGCTACAAAACGATAACTATAGTTAGTTAACAAACCAAACCACGATTCACGCAATGCGTTTACGGTTTACCCCACTGGTGGAGAACAAACCAGAGTTAATAAAACGACTTTTGAGGGTAAAACAGAAAATAACAAAAAGCCGAAGAAGAAAATTAAAATAAAAAATTAAATTGAGTTATGGATATATAGATGCACATGCATATGATAGGAAATAAGGCATAGAGAGGGCAAAAAAGAGGCTGAAGCTACAAATAGCAAAAGGAGGAGAGAGGGTTTTGGTGGCTTTGGAGTGAACTGAATCAAATCCAAGCCGTTGAATCTTCTGTTATGTCTGGATCAGACGGTTAAAAAAGTGATTTGAATCTTTCAGACGCCGGCGAGGTGTGTGTTGTTTTTGTTCTGGTTGCCGGAAAAAGGTAACACAGAGGTGCAATCTTCAGATCTGGCCTTCCGGTGAGTTTTTCCCGCTTTTTTTCATTCAACTTTTTGGAAATTTATTTATTTAGTTTTACTTAATTACTACTTGTTTTGATTTTGTTCCTGATTGGTCCTTCAATGTTCGTTCTGGATCATCCGAGTTTTATTCAGATTATTTTGAGGATTTTAATTTTCTTTTTTTTTCCTTTGAAGGATATAAATTTATAAATCTATTTATTTTCAGTTATTGAATGAAAATGAGAGTATGAGATTAATCTCACAAAAGAGTGTTCTTAATGACTCAAATAACACTCGTTTTTTAAGCAGTAAATAGTGTTAATTTGATAAGAAAGAGTGTTATTTCAGTTTCAGTTTCAAGTGTTTGTAGCTTCGCATTTGAGTTTTTGTTGTATATGAATGTTTTTCTTAAAGGATTCAAGTTTACCAGTTTAAGATTCTATTTTTAAAGCTATTTTTATGTTATTGAGTGAAAATGAGAGTTTTACAGTTTAGTGCTAAATAATTTTTTATGCCAAATAATTGCTCTAACACTTTTCTTTAGCAGTAGCGAGTGTTATTTGAGTGATTAGTTTATGCTTTAATTACAGTTAAAGCTTTACAATAAGCATTAATTGATAATATGATAAAAATAGTATCCTAACCTGCTATAGTAGGTTATACTACACTGATGGTGTAAAAACTCTTTACACTCATTGTGTATATAACTTACATTCTTGAGGAGTCAGTTATAATCTCTAAAATTTCGTGTATGTAACGTGTTTCAAACGAGGTTCATTTCCAAGTGTTTTTGCTTGCTGTGGATTTTCTTTTTCATTGAAGGATTTTTTAGAGGGACTTGAGTTTGATTTTGTTTTAGTACAAAAAATTTACGTTTCTATTAACCATTGAAAATGAGAGAGATTAATTAGATTCATTTACAATAGTACCAGTAATTTTACTGATGACTGTTACAAATTACTCAAATATCACTCGTTTTTTTTAAAGCAAAAAAATAGTGTTATTTGATAGTAGATAGTTTTATTTGTGTAATTAGTTAGATTCTCTATGTATATTCAAACGAGTTTCAGTTTCAAGTGGTTTATAGCTTGGCATTGATTGTGATCACAGTACTAAATGCTTTTTCAAGATTTGAAAGTTTATGTGAGTTATGTTTCTGATTCTTCTTTTCTTAAGTGCAAAGGAATTAGATAACGTGATTTTAGTAACAAAGAATTCTTCATCAGTTTCTTGTAGGTCTTTTTATGCTTCATTGTTGACAAGCCTGTGATAGGGTCAGGATCTTAGTGCTACCTTATTGGTGTGATATGCAAATTGGTGATCTATTTTTTTGCGTTTAACTTTTAACTGGTCCAACTAGGTAACGTTTCCCATTAAGCTTGAGTTGGCAATTTGGAAAATATGGATACCCAACCTACTACAACTTGTTAAAATACACCACCACGACTGCGTTTCAGTCTTAAATTGTCGGGAAGCTGATGTAACTTAGTTACAGTGATAGTGTTAAAGCTTCTTTATATTCTCAGCGTATATCAGCTTATATCCTTTTCCTAGTTTCTATCTGGTGGCTTTTGGTCTTCCATTGCTTGAATAACCTTGTGATGCTCTTATTACATTTCTTGACTAATGACATGAATTGGTCCCGGTTGTATTCTAATTCTGTCTTGTATCTCTTTACAGATCGTTGTGCACTGTCTTATCCACATTGTGAGATGGCTGTTGTAGTGTAATATTTGAGATTCTTGCTCTTTTGCTGTTCTGTATTTGACGCGGTAGTGATATTTGCTGTTGCCTGTGGCATCATCTGGGTTGGTTCTGGTTTCTCTTTGCTTATTGATGATTATTTCCAAATTGAGTCATTTCCTGGTTTGTCACAATCGGCTTTTGAGTTTGGCGTTCAATTGAGAGTGCGTGGAAGGCTCTCTTCTGCCGCCATCTCTGTTGCCGATTGTGACTGCCAACTGTGTTTCTCGGCCTTTTATGTCTCGTAACGCGGATAGTCCTGTTCAAACCCAGATGGCTGTGGCAATCTTCAAGAGCCCACTTGGTGGGGAGTACCATGGAAAGAGTAGGACGGAAGGGAAACCGGCTGGAAGGAGACGTGTTTTTGTGCAAACTGAAACTGGTTGTGTACTGGGGATGGAGTTAGACCGCAGTGACAATGCACATACTGTGAAGAGAAGATTGCAGCTTGCACTTAACTATCCAATTGAGGAGAGTTCTTTGACATTTGGCGATAGGGTGCTGAAGAATGACCTAAGTGCTGTCCGAAATGATTCCCCTCTGCTGCTGACGAGGAACTTTATGCATAGAAGTTCATCAACTCCATGCCTTTCACCCACTGGGAGGGATATACAACCAAGAGATCAAAGTGGTCCCATTGAAATACTGGGTAACGCTGGTCGCTTTGCCAAGACAAAGCAAATTATCAAAGAAATTGTGAAGGCAATAAAGGCTGGTGTTGATCCACTCCCTGTTCATAGTGGACTTGGAGGGGCGTATTATTTTAGAAATAGCAGAGGTGAGAGTGTTGCTATTGTCAAGCCCACAGATGAAGAACCATTTGCGCCAAACAATCCGAAAGGATTTGTTGGCAAAGCTCTTGGGCAGCCAGGCTTAAAACGATCAGTCAGAGTTGGGGAAACAGGGTTTAGGGAGGTGGCTGCATATCTTCTTGACTATGATCATTTTGCCAATGTGCCAGCTACTGCATTGGTGAAAATTACTCACTCAGTCTTCAATGTCAATGATGGTGTAACTGGAGACAAGCCTCATAGCAAGAAGCAGCTTGTTAGCAAGATTGCGTCTTTTCAACAGTTCATTCCCCATGATTTTGATGCCAGTGACCATGGAACCTCAAACTTCCCTGTTGCTGCAGTGCATCGGATTGGGATATTAGACATTAGGATTTTTAACACAGATAGACATGCAGGAAATCTTTTAGTTAGGAAGCTTGATGGTATTGGAAGGTTTGGTCAAGTAGATCTCATCCCCATTGATCATGGTCTCTGTCTACCAGAGAGCTTAGAAGATCCGTATTTTGAATGGATCCATTGGCCCCAGGCATCTATTCCATTCACAGAGGATGAACTTGAGTACATACAGAAACTTGATCCTATTCGGGACTGTGAGATGCTACGAAGTGAGCTCCCTATGATTCGTGAAGCTTGCCTTCGTGTCTTGGTCCTTTCCACCATTTTTCTCAAGGAAGCCGCTGCTTATGGTCTCTGCCTTGCTGAAATTGGAGAGATGATGAGCAGGGAATTCCGTAGTGGGGAGGAGGAACCAAGTGAGCTTGAAGTTGTTTGCTTGGAGGCAAGAAGGCTGATTGCTGAGAGGGAGATTCTTTCGCCAAAGGCTGAAGTGGATGAGGAGTTTCAATTTGACATAGATTGCGAAGATGCTGGATATGACTATAGTCCCAAATTGATTTCTCAGGACTTCATGAACCGAAACCCATTTCATTTTCCAATTGGAGGAAATGGCTGCTTCCCACTTTCTAAACTAGATGAAAGTATTGAGGAAGAGGAAAGCGAGGAAGAAGAGGAAAAGAGCTTTACTTCTGTTCCTGCCCCAGCAAATAACATTACTACTATGTCAAAGCTTTCAATGTCTCTCAAGAATACCAGCTTAGGTGAGAAGAAACTGAAATTTCCAAAATTTTCAGGAACAAAACCAGAAAATGGCTATCTGGCTGGTTCCTCCTCTGGACATAGGAGCGCAAATGAGCAGCTTCCTGCAAGTGTCAGCTTTGTGAAACTAGCAGATATGATTGACGGCGAGTGGGCTTTGTTTCTAGAGAAGTTTGAAGAGCTGCTTTACCCAGCTTTTGCCAAGCGCAAGTCTATCACCCTTGGTCAGAGGCAGAGACAAAGGCTTGGGACTTCTTGCCAGTTTTGAGTTTGAGGTATTACTATATTTCCCCTATGAGGATGACTTATGCCTAAATAAGACTGCAGACTTATGGAAGTGATCAAGGAATTCTAGCTTAGGATGGTTTTTCTCCCTGAAGTCGTGATAGAGCGGGAGTAGGGCCATAGGATGCTGTAAATATTTTTGGAGGCAGCCGGGTGGAAGGGCCGAGTAGAATTGGTTGTATCTTTCTTCTCGTTTACATCTTCGATTTTTTTTTTTTTTTTTTCAATTTTTCCCCTTTCACTGCGTTGTGGAGTCACTGTTACATAAATAAATATGTAGAATGAAATATGAAAAAAAGAATGAAAAATAGTTTTATGTAAATATTGGATATGTTATGATTTCTTGCTCTTTTAAGTCTCAGCGCATAAGCTTGATTATCTATGCATGTGTTACTGATGTACTCCAATCATAACAACGCCTCAATTTCGGGCAACTTGGAGTTGATTATACGAATCTTTACTATTCATATGCGCTATTCAAGTCCGCCTTAATCTAATCACAACCATTACAGATGTTAAGCAATGATATTCCGAGTCATTGTTTCTAGGTAACATTATCTGATTATCTGTTTAATGGTTTGTGTATTTTGTCTATTATCGAAAAGGATACATTCAGTTGTATCCCTTCGCAAATTTTCATGTCTATACAGGTTTTATATTTGTATTCTCTTACAAGTGGTGAAAGAAACTACGATATTTGGGACAGCGATGCAAAAACAATTGTGGGGTGGCAACAAAAAAGTGCAGGTTGGGTCCCTTCAAAGACCAGTTGTCCCTTCAATGATTGATGAGTTCAAAATAAACATCATTGCAGAACATATTTCTAACGTTATCAAAATAAAATAAAATATTTCTAATGTCTAATTAATTGCAAAGTTTCTAGTTTGGTATTTAATTTAATCGCAGTTCTTGTTAACAGAAAAAGACGGATTTTGACGTTAAAAGTAAAGCGAGATAAAAAGCGATAAGCAGATAGAGTTGGTGGAAGTCTGCACCAATCTTTGCATTATTTGATTTGGTTTAATTTAGTGATTTTTGTATGTAATCGAGAGAGCTTTTTGAATTAGTGAATGAACCAAGTTAGGAGATTATTTGAGAGACGTTTTCCTAAAGACTAGTCCATTAACGTGTTCTTGCATATCTTCACAATGTTTCATATTAGTTTATTTTTTAGAGTTTAGATTTAATCGAGAGAGGAATCTTAACTTTACGTTTAAGCTAATCATCGAGTGAATTTGTTAGAATCATTAGAACATTAGAAGTGAATTTGAACAGAGTTAGATCTCGAATTACTATCTTACACCTATCATGTCGTGACCCTTATTTCTCATATTATTTACAACCTGTTTTAGTTTAACTCTCATTCTTTGTGATCAAGTCCAATTAGTTGTAATCTTAATTTAATAGTTGATTATAGTTAGTAATCACTTCAAATCAAGTGTAGAATTATCCTGAATAGCAGTAAACCATAAGTTTATTCGAACATTATTTAAATCCAATCCCCGTGGAGACGATAATTTTACTTTACTATCTTTGACTAACGAGCATTAATTTTGTGTTGTGTTTTGCACTCGTCAAATTTTGGCGCCGTTGCCGGGGATTGGTAGTTGATAGCGTTTAAAATAATTTTTGGTGCTAATTTAGGAATTAGTTTTTTTCTTTTATTTTTATTTTACTTTTTAGTTAACTTGTCTTCAAGATTTCATTTGTAGTACATGACAAGTGCTAGGTATAAATCTTGAAGAATTATTCTTGGAACTCTAATTGTTGTTAAAGATGGAGTACAATCAACCTAAGAAAACGATTGAAGAGTTAGCAGCTGAACATTATCACAAGTTTGCTGTTTGATTTAAATGTATTAGAAATCATCTATGTGTTGACTGTCAAGCAGGTAAGTATTCTTCATATGGCTCGTCTTTTGAACCTCTATTTCTAGTCGGTACAGGTATGAGGTATCGTATGGCCACAAGCTTAACTATGGATGGAACGAATGCTCTGATTATGAATGGAACGAAAGTGAAGTGAGACAACCACTTCAAGAGGAGAATGGTAGTTTAGAAGAGCTTATGTATAAGTTCATGAACAATACTGTTGAAGAGAGATTTATACAAAATGATGAAGCCATTAAGAACCTAACAACGCAAGTTAGTCAAATAGTAAGTATACTTTCAGAAAGCTCATTGCGTTGTGATGGTGAATATATGGAGGGGGATACCTTGTGGGAATGAGCCTACCCAAGAGGATAAGCATCCACAGAGAGAACTTGCCACTCGGCAAGAACACTCTGATTCAATTGAGATGACTGAAGATGAGGTTTTGGTTGATTTTGAAGCAATAAAAGAAGAGTTTAAACCTTCATCCACCTTTCCATATTATCACCTTTAGTAGAAGAGAAGGAGAAAGATTTGGTTTTGGACATACCAGAGGAATATTCACATGACCTTTCTTATTTGTTTTCTTATTCTAACATTAATCATGTGAATTTTATTTTTGGAGATTTGCAGGAAGATGCATGGATTGATCTTGTAAAAGAATGCGGAACAAGTTGAGGATGATCCTACAAGAACAATTCACCGCTCAAAAAGAGGTCAAGAAAGAAAGAAAAGAGCAGGTCTTGCAGATATATTCAGATGACTTTGTCCTGATGAGCTCTATAAATAATCCCAAGGAGAGAAAATGAGGAATGAATTCAAAATTAGGGGTGGAGTTCATAAGTTCTCGGAAACGAAAAAAATTCAGGGGAGTTCCTTAACCTCTTACCTTTTACTTGTGAGTCGTAGGGACACGCCACAATTTAAAATGTGGGGTGAGGGATGTAAATATGTATATGTATGTTTGTTTTCTTGTGTTTTGTTTAGAAATTTTTTTAACTTTTCCCGATGATGGATTTCCTCGATTATCGAGGGATCAAAGTCGAAGAATTTTTTGTTTTTATTTTTCTTAGGTAGTCTAACAATTCACTCTTGTTTTTTTGTGCTATGGTTCTTTTCCAAGGGTTTTGCTTGAATCAGGTGTAGTTAGTTTTTCTTTTATTAGGAATAGTGAAGCCCTTAGCTATGGTATTAATTATAAACGACTTTTCTTGACTTTGTTATGCCTTGAGAGTAGTGAGTGCCTTAGTTGTGACGCATAAGCTCAGTTCTTGACTCATGTATAAGTGCCTAAATTTGGTTGATTTTGATGTTGCTTAACTACTTTGACTAGAGAGTCGAGATCCGGTCCTAAGTGAGTTATGCGCCATTGTGTGTGTGAAATTTTGTTGGTATTCTATGCATGTCAGTTGATGTCTAGAACTTGCCCCGTGTATTTGCAAAGCTAAATAGCAGTCTTGTTCAATCTAGGAAGTGATATAGATATTTTTTTGTTGAGCCAATTATAAGTTTATGACCCACCTAATTAATGTGTATCATAGTTAGCCCATTTGAGCCTGCAATCCCATTTCTTTGCCATCACACTACAAGCATGACCCCTTTTATTGAATTGACTATCTGTTTGAACCTTTTACCTCTCTCGAGCACTTGAAATTATTATGAACTTGTAATAGCTAAGTTGAAGTATGGTCGGGTTTTTTAAGTGAAACTATTAAAAAAGGAGAAAGGTGCATTATTTGAAAAATTGTGAAAGCCACTTGTAAGGAACTAAAAAAAAAGTGAGTTTGCTTGAAAGCTAAAAAAATTAGAACTTAGAAAAGAAAAAATTTAATTTTTTGCTAGTGGTAGTTCTCATCTTGGTTGTGCTTAAAGAAATTGGAAGCTGATGTTATTATGTGGTGAAGGTTAGAGTTTAGTTCCATATAAGTGTGGGTTTTAAATTGTTAATGTATATGTATTAAAGTGCTTAGGGAGGTGTAGTCACTATATACAAATGTATCCTACCAGTCCCGCAACCTACATTACAAGTAGGGGTTGGCAAAATGGTTAAAAGAAAATATTAACCACCCATATTATCCACTAAAAAATGGGTTGGATAATGAACTTTTTGAAAACGGGTGAAATATGGATGGGGACCATATTATCCATTTAGAAAATGGTTAACCAATGGGTAAGCAGTGGATAGCCAATGGGTCTAACTTTTACATTTGTAAAGCCTCAAATTGGGGGTTTCTCAAGTTAGGGAGACTACGAATTCTCCCAAAAGTGATCATATGCAAGAAGTCATGGATACTATGGTTAACCATATTATCCGCCGGTTAACCCATTTTTTATCCGTATGAAATATGGGTCGGGTCGGATAATTTATCCATTTTTTCATTGCTCATTTTTGACCTAACCATATTCGACCCGACCCGCCCGTTTGCCGCTCCTAATTACAACTAAATAAAGTCCTACTTGATCTTTGACTGAATGAGCTTAATAAGTAGAGTATTACACTATGGGCAAGCCTATGGTACGTCTAATGTGGCACATGAAATTTATTTCTGAGAGCGAGTCAATTCTTTCTATCTTGAGTTCCTAATTGTTCTTGAATTTTTTTGTGTGTGGAACTACTCTCTATTGATTGTGTGAGGGCACATGACTTGCAAAGGAAAGGCAATGATTTTGACCTCTGTGTTAGAGTAAATGAGTCGGTTGTGAAAATTGCATGGTGCTTTTGAGTCGAGTTTTGAGACTAAGGTGTTATGATAGGGTGCTTAGTCTGCTTTAAATATTCTTCTCATGATGCGTTAAGGAAGTTGTCTGATAAGAAGGTCATATCAATGTGAAGTGCAGTTTGATTGCTCGAGGACGAGCAATGGTTTAAGTGTGGAGTGTTGATGGTAGGTTAGAAACTCGTATTTTAGTCATAGTTTGCACTCTAATTACTGTATTTTACTTGTGTTTGAGCTCAAATGATAGTGCATTTCACTTATTATGTATTTTATGCCTTGCAAGAAGTGATTACGAGTTCAAAAGACAATCGAGAGCTAAATCGAACAAGTTGGAGCTTTGAAGTTTGAGTAAAAACCTAAAAAATTAAACGAGATCAAGTTTAGGTTTAAAGATTAAGTATAGATAGAAAAATTGAAAAGAAAAAATTGTTGGGTTTTAAAACTATTTTAGTTTAAAAGAGGGTGAATGAGAAATGGAGGGAAAATGAAATATTTGAGTTTCCCTTCTTGATAAAGGGACATTGTCCCATATTGGAGGAGGAAAGACTTTTGATGGGTATATATACAATTGCTCTTCTTCTAGCTCTTAAAGAGTTAAGAAGAAGGCAAGCCTTGCGCCGTCGTCGTCGCTCGCTCGGCTCGGCTTCGGATTCAGATTCGATCAAGTGATTGATTGATTAATTATTTGGAGATCAAATTTATTTGTTAATAGTAAATATTAACGTAATTATTATTAAATATCCGTTTTTAACGGAAAATTAATATTA